AGCATAGCGCTGTACCATTTGTCCGCCCATCGAGTGACCTTCAGAAAGACAAGCATGATTGCAGAATGTGTCAGGTAGCCGACAAAAGGGCATCCCGAGTCATTTGCGCGTGCAACTGACCTACGAGAGTGACTGAACTCAGCGCTGGCCACTGAGCAGTGTCGAAGAATGAGTCTAAAAAGTAGTCTAGCACCTCAAACGTAGACAGACTGTGGTTCAACTTGGGTCCGACCGAATTTCCACCATACTCCCACGCAGAGCCGTTCCAGTACAATTCGTTGCCTTGCACGCTGCCCGCTTGCTGGTCCACCTCGTTGAGCCAGGCAGGGCTGACGATGACCACAGATCCGTTTGTGACTCCACTGCTCTGGTTGTTATAGACGACCGCGGCGGCGTTCTGCGCTAGATTGGCATAAAGCCAAGTGTCTCTAGCTGTTCATGGCACAATGACGGGAGCATGAGCGGAAACAAGGTTCAGTCTGCATCGACCGCGGATGCCCACTCACGTTTTCCAGGCGCAGTGACGACTATCCGCTTTACATTTTCGCGTTGATACATGCCAGCTGAGGTGATGTAGAACGGCTGAATGTGGGAAAGAAGGGTCTCGGTGAGCGTCTGGATGCCTTGCAATCAGCTTTGATCGTTGACTCACCATGACTGCACCCGGTACGACTTCCCAGCTCCTGTTCAGGTCGTAGCCCTGCTGTTGGGGAAGAGCGGTCCAGCCACCAGCGGCAGAGATGTTGGTGGAAGCAGTAGCGCTGCAAAGATCATCGAGCAACACGTTTCAGGCACGGCAGCTAGAGATGGCGACATTGTATTCGTGCACCTTTCAGCTCACATGAAAGCTGTGGCATTGTTCCACGGAAGCTGTGCTTCATTGCTATCGCCGCTTACGCTGTGAGCGCGAACGCGCATCGGGGCAGCGGAACGCCAAAAGTGTCAGGACGAGAAGGCATCGGAACACCGTAACCGTCCATACATCAATCACTCACAGTTGCTGCCATACAATGTGGCGGATGAATGTGTTGGTAGCTCACAATAGTCAATACTCGCCCCTCTCTTGCGCAATCTA